ATTATCCCGCCCCTCTGCCGCGCAACCTATGCTTCACTTGCATAGGGTAGCCATAAGTTGAAACTTACCATCAACAACAAAAACAGCAAAGTTAAAAACTAACGGATCTGCAAAGCAGATTAAAATGCATGTTAATGCACTTTGCATATCTGTTAGTTTTGAACTTTGTTGTTGTTTTGTTGTTGTTGTTAAGTGCATTCAAGTTGGCTTTGACTTATGGTGACCCTATGAATGAGAGTCCTGGTTCTTGCAAACTCAGGGCTGTGTCTTCCTCGATTGATTCTATCCATCTGTAATGCAGTCTTCCTCTTTTTCTACTGCCATCTCCTTACTAAGCATCATCGCCTTTTCTAGCGAGTCATTGGGTGCATCTACACTGTAGAAATAATGCAGTTTGACCCCACTTTAAGTGCTGTAGTGCCATCCTATGGTATTCTGGGATTTGTAGTTGTAGCCTTCTCTGCCAAAGAGCTGGGGCCTCACAAAACTACTGATCCCAAGATTCTGTAGGATGGAGCCTTGGCAGTTAAAGTGATGCCAGACTGCATTCATTCTACAGTGTAGATCTACAGTGTACATGTACAGTGTAGAATTGAGTTTAGTCATCTTGCCTTCCAGAGAGAGTTCTAGATTTGCTATGGTACCTATTTATTTCTATTTTTCGCAGTCCTCAGTATCCATAGAACTCTTCCACCTGCCTGGCTTTTCTCTGTGCTGTTTTTAATTTGGATAGCAAATCGTCTTATAACCTTCTCATTTCAAAGGAGGGTATTTTGTTTTTTCAGCATAAAATAAAATACCTGCCTGTATAACAGCATGGTGTAGGAGTGAGAAGGCTGGATTGGGACTTAGAAGATCCTGGTACTAGTTCCCATTCTCCCACAGAAGTCATATTGAACCCATCACTCTCTCTCAGCCAGACCAACCTCATAGAGCTGACAACTGCTAGCCATGGTGGCCGACAAGAACCTCCACCTACTATAGCAGTATACCTTTAAATATAAAAGACTGGGGTGGACTGGGGAATGCCGTTACACATGGCTTGGAGTCTGATTTGCACAATGCAGCACAGCTGTGTTGTTGCTGTGTATCTTCAAATCCTCCCTGACTTATGGCGACCCTAAGGCGAACATTTCGTGGGGTTTTCTTGGCATGATTTGTTCAGAGGAGATTTGTCATTGCCTCCCTCTGAGGCTGAGAGCATGTGACTTGCCCAAGGTCACCCAGTGGGTTTCCATGGCTGAGCAGGGAATCAAACCCTGATCTTCAGAGTCATAGTCTAACACCCAAACCACTAGGCCACACTGGCTCTACACCAGGGGTATAGTGATAGAGGGACAACAGTGAAGGTGTGCTATTGTTGTTATTGTGGACCTCAACTCTATGAATGAGAGACCTCCAAGTCATCCTATCCTCAACCACCCTGCTCAGGTCCTGCAGACTCACGGCCATGGCTTTTCTGATAGAATATATTCAGGGTGGGAAGATGATGATGATGATGATGATGATGATGATGATGATGATGATGATGATGATGATGATATCTTCTTTTCCTATTGCCCTCCACTTTGCCAAGCATTATAGTCTTTTCTAGTGAGTCCTTTCTTCTCATGATATGGCCAAAATATAACAACCTCAGTTGGCTTCCAGGGAGAGTTCAGGCTTGATCTGTTCCAGGATCCCTTTGTTTGCCTTTTTGGCCATCCACGGTATCCTCCGCACTCTTCTCCAGCACTACATCTCAAATGAGTCGATTCCCCCCCCCCCATCAGCCTTCTTCACTATCCAGCTTTCACATGAAGGCATTCCTCCTCCTCAAATAAAAATTTTGCATGCCAATAATAATTTTCCTTAGTCTTCAAAACTCTAGCATTGCTGACAGTGACACACTGAGAAATCATTTACACCTGGATCTCTTATATTTGCTGTGTTTGTGTTATCCCTTTGTAACCATGCCTGCCCTTTTGCCTAAACTGGGTTTCTCAATGCTCAACTGAAGTTTCAAGTTCCTGCAGAGCTAGCATGGTGTAATGGTTTGAGCATTGGACTACAAAAACCCTTGAGACCAGGATTCAATTCCCCACGTGGGTGAGTCACATGCTCTCAGCCCCAGAAAGCCCAGGATAGGGTTAACATAATTCAGAAAGGACTTGAGTGCATACGACAACAAAGCTACAAATTTGTGGCCTGAAGGAAATTTTCATTGGGGAGGGGGGCAGAATTCTTGTTTGTGGAAAAGATTTCTTATTTGGGAGTCAGTCCCATTATTTTGCTGCCCTACTCATAGCTACACACCAAAGTACACACGTCTATTCCAGTAATATTCTGATCCTGTTTTGTTAACCCAGAAACCTGTTTTGTTTCTGGGTTCAGGTTACAAACCACATAAAACTGTCAGACTCTGTTGCAGTAGGCTGGAGGGCCGTGTGGCCTTCAAAATGCCATTGGATTGCAGTTCCCAGCATCCCCAATCAGGCCCGCTAACAATGAGAGATGATGGGAACTGTGGTCCCCCACATCTGAAGGGCCCTCCTCTCCCTCAGACGGGAGCTACAGGACGGAAATAACTCTTACAAAATAAAGAGAGCAGTGCGCACCAAAGGACGTATTCCTCAACAGGAATTCATTCTCCAGACAATAATGCACTCCAACAAAGGACTATATTAGCTAGCGCCATCCCTTCCTTTCATCTACCCCAGAGCAACGCAGATGGCAAGGAAGGAGAGAAGAAAAGCACACCCACACAAAATGCTGACACACAGCAGAAAAGGCACAGCAACTTTTCTTAGGAAAGCTGCATGCCCTTCATGCAGGGGAAGAGAATGAACAAACCCTATAAAGTCTGATTTTCTCCATTCATGCAGGAGGGGGCTAGTAGTGGATTGGAAGATATTTCCACTTTAAGTCATGAATTCAGGAGAGGGAAAGCAGAAGAGAAAGCTAGTGACGGCAGGAGAGGGACGGAATTAACAGGATGGGTTTAGCTTTTTTCATAGCACATATTGTTTTAATCACTTTAATCTTATACTCTAAGCTGCCTTGAGTCCTTTGTTGGGAGAAAGGTGGGCTGTAAATTTAATTGGAAAAGAGCAAGTGCATTACAGGTGGATAGACTTATTCAAGGAAGACACGGCTGCTCTGCCTTTGCAAGACCTGAGCAGGGCTTGGGATGACTCAGGGTCTTGGAGGTCTCTCATTCATAGGGGCTCCATATGTCAAAGTTGACTTGACAGTAAATAACAATAAATAAGTACAGTGAATACATTTGGAAATCTATTGGTAAGGGATCTGAGGACTTTGGACTATTCAGTGGTACCACTGCTGATCCTATCTTGAACCCAAGACTCTTTTGGTGGCTGTGAGCATCTTTCTTTCTTTCTTTCTTTCTTTCTTTCTTTCTTTCTTTC